GGCAATCGAAGCAGCAGGAGCAGCCAGAAAGCCCTGGCCTGACATCTAGTCTCCATGCTGACAGCTGTGTGACCTTGGGCAAGGCACAGCCCTCTCTGGGCCTCCAGTACCTCAAAGCAGCCAAATAATTCCTGAGGTCCCTGCCAGGAGGGAAAGCTGATTCCAACTGGTGTGTCTCCCGGGGGACTCACCTGCTGTTTCACAGTGGCCTTCAGGAGTTGACAGCCCCAGGAAGTGACGTCAAGGTGGGGAGGTGAGGAGCAGGGCAGAGAGGTCCAGAGAGTAGGGGCAGGGGAGATATTTTGGGGCAGGTGGATCCCCTAGTCACTGCTGGACAATGGTCCAGGGCAGCCATTGTGCCAGGAGTGGAAAATCCTTTTCTGACTCCATCTCCAAGGACTGAAAATAGTCCACGGTGATGGGTGGAGCCCCTTTGGGGCCGATGAGTGACTGGCCCAGCCTGGGCCATTGTTCTGGCTGGGACAGGGCTGAGACTGGACACCTGGCTAAGCGGAGCCAAGACAGAGGCAAACCCAGGAAGCCCCTATTGGAGGAAGAGTGGCTGGGCAAAGCCAAGCCCCAGGGCAGATGGGGAAACTGAGACCCAGAGAGGGGAGGAGATTCACCAAGTCACAAGGTACATCAGGGCAGAGGATGAGAGTTTGGCTTCTGGGGCTCCTTCCCCCTACCCCCACCCTCAACCCCCCACAAGCACACACCCCTAGAGAAGGCAAGCACCCTGCAGCCCAGCCACTCCTGGCCAAGCTCCACTATCCACCCCACAGGAGGCAGGAGCATCAGACATGGAGCTGGCTCTACTCCAAGGCACTGTGTGGTACCAATGGAGTCACTTCACCTCTCTGGTCACTTGATGCCCCCATTCTAGTCCTGCCTCAGAACTGAGAGCCCCGGGGGGCTTGGGAATGCCTGGGGAAGCAGCTATTACTTGTGCCTTTGATGAAACTCTAGGCAGCTGAAGCCCTGATTGAGACAGAGGCAACTGGAATGTGGGAGACAAGGTCTCCAGGCTCCGGGCCAGTCCTCCTACCTTGGGTCTCTGAGCTCTTAGTTGAACTAAGGAGTGGCTGTAGTACCCCGTGGCAGGCCCCACCAGTCAGAGAGAAAGGCTACGCCTGTTGCCATGGGTGGTGGGAGCTCTCTAGCCCACAGGGGCTGGCTCTGCAAGCTTGATATCAAGAGCATCCTCCTCCCCGCCCCCCACCCCCACCCCGCTGTCTCCTCCCTGCTGCCCTTCCACAGCCAGGCACCTGGGCAAGGTCCTGTAAACATACACAGGCCCGTGTGCGGGAAAGCCACCCAGTGCCAGGATGGGCCTGCTTCCCTGCTCCCACACCCTGCTCAGCCTTGGCTACAGGAGATGCCCTATTGTCCACTGACGTGACACACTGTCCTTTCCTTCAAATCATTTATCCAATGTGGTTACATATTAAATTATGTCAGCTCCATGAGGGCAGGGTCCAGCTGGCTCGCCTCCCACATCCCTTGGCACAGTACCTGGCATGTGAATGTTTACCGTGTGCCGGGCGCTGTTCTAAGTCCTTCATGACTATTAACTCAGGTGAGCCTCCCAACGCCCTCCATGGCAGGCAGTGTCTCCTTTAGAGATGAGACAGCCGAGGCGCTGCAAGATTAAATCATTTGCCCAACGTGCCACAGCTGGAAGAAGTGGAGACGACATTCAAAGCCAGGTGGTCTGGGCACAGGATCCGTGCTCTTAACCCCTTCCATCCTTGCAACACGCCTTTCTCATCTTGAATCACAGGAAGGGTCGTTTACAGCCTCTCCTGCCCCGCAGGGGTTGCGAGCAGCATGCGATAGTGGAGAGAGAACCAATCTGGGCATCAGATGGACCCAGACTCAATCTCCTCTCACCCACTTACTGCCTGTGTAACCTGGAGCAAGTCCTCACTTCTCAGAGCCCATCCCTCGTCTGCTAAATGGGGATAATAATGTCTATTTCACACCGTCGAGGTGAAAAAGAAAATGAAATAATGGATGCGAAGGTCCCACACAGTTCCTGAGACATGGGTTAACATGTGAGTTCCCTTCCTCATGTGCCTACCTCTAAATAGCCCAAAGCTGCCATGACAAGATGGGTGACAGAGGGGTAGCTTTGGTGGCCTGACCTGGACCAAGACTGGAGCAACTGTGTCTGGGGAGCATGTTGTCCAGGCCTTTCCCAGCCTTGGAGGGTGAGAGTGGGAATGTCTTCTGGGATTCCCCCCTCCCTGCCAGGTTCTGGGCCACCTGCCACCCAGGGCAGAGACCCCTCTGTGCCAGGGTCCCTGTCCTCAACGCACGGAGTTCATTGAGAACAGCTGCTACAGGCATTTCCTCTCCCCGCCACCCCCCTGCCACGTGTCCCTGGCCTCAGCTCCATGGCTCTGTAGGGGTAACGGCGCCAACCTGCACTAAACGGAGCAGAGCAGCAGGGGCAGCCTGCGCCCTGGGCGCGCATCCAGGCGCCACACTGACCTGCTGAGTGACCTTGGGCAAAGCCACGCCCCCCTCTGGCCTTGAGTCTGCAGCTGTGCTGGGTAATCCCTGGGGTCCCTGTCAGGTGGCTGTGCCCTTTCACAGTGGCCTTCAGGAGTCAACAGCCCCAGGAAGTGATGTCAGGGGGAGGAGGTGGGAAGGGGCCAGGGTGGCCCAGAGAGTAAGAGGAGATATTTTGAGAACAGACAGGTCCCCCCACGTCACTGCTGGACAATGGTCTGGGGCTGGGAGTGGAAAATCCTATTCTAGTTGGGCTCAAAATAGCACAAAGCAGCAGGGTCAGGAACCTCGCCCACCCAGCGGGTGGCCCAATGCTGAGAGCAAGGCCAAACGTCCACACCAAGGGGCCAAGCAGTCAACTGGGGTCGAGAGGTGGGACCTGGGCCTGTCCCTTTTCCCTTAGGGTCGCCATTCCCCACCCCCACCAGTGCCTGCCACAGGATTACATGGGTGAACAAACCCTTCTTGTCCCCTGGGTCCTATGTCCTTAGAAATCTGCAGGCAGCTCATTCAAGGAAGGCTTCCTGGGGCTAGGCCATAGGGCTGTCTCCAGCCATTGTGGGGCCCTGGGTTCTCGGGGTCTCCAGGGCAGCTGCTGGAGGGGCAGGTGGGCAGGACGTGAAAGGCGTTAGGACTAGGAGATTTTGGACCCGTGGTGGCCATAGCCCCACCCCCAACCACATACGCACACTCTAGAGCCCCCAAAGTCATGATGTATAACTCCCTGCCTCTGGGTCTAAGCAGGGCTGAGGGAGTCAGAGCTCAGCATTCACATTCCTGGCCAGCAGAGCATCTCACCTGGGTAGGGGCTCCCTGTAAACGGGGATGGGGTTCAGCCTGAGCAGCAGCTGGTAGGAAAGAGACAGGCTCTGGCCTACAGGGAAGGCTCAAGGACAATCTGTAAGAGGTAGTCATGACAAAAGCTCACAGGGACTCTGGTTACATTAACAGAAGTACAGAACCTAGAATGTCGGAGGCAAACATCTCACACTACTCTAGGCAGGTCTTGTGATGAGTCCCTGTCACATGAGGAAGCTGTGGAGCCAGACTTTAAACAGAGCAACCCCTGGGGGTGCCCCATTGTGATAAGGCAGAGTAGGAAGAGTGGAGAAGTCATAGGAGGCAGGTGAAAGTGGGATGGGGAATGAAGGACCTTCTCAGGCAAAGCAGGCCCACAGGGCAAGGGCTCTGCCAGAGGGAAAGGGAGTGAGTCCTTATCCTGGAGGTTAAGAGGGAGGCCTCTCGGCTTTGCCCTATCCCTTCCCAAAGGCTAGGGCTGGGCCCTGTCCAGCTGAGCTCCACAAATCTCCAGAGTGGTCCTGGCCGGACCCAGAACCTGCCCCAGGCGAGACCCATCTCCCCTATACTAAGCCTTCACTTAGCCTGAGCACCAACCATTATGCCATGTAGCTGGATTTTCCCAGGACGCAGAGGACTGGAGGGGAAGAGGAGTCTCTTCTCCACTTACCCCCAGTGCAAAGGAAACCTCTTGGTCAGGGCAAGGCGAGAGCCCTGACTTGGCCTCCTTGTGACCCAGCCCCAGCCCCATTCCTGCCTTGAGCCTGGGCACCAGCTGCCCAGTTGCCTTCCAGTTCCTGTGCACCCTGCTCTCCTGCCCTCCCATCTCTGCCCGGGATGCACTCTGCACCTGGATGTTCTCTGATGAACTGCTTTTCTCAGAAGCTGCAGCTCAGGAGTCTCCCCATTACAGGACCCTTCCCTGACCCCCTAGTCTGCAGCCCCAAGGCTCAGCATTATCCCAGGGTGTGCTGGAGCAACTTGCACCTGCTTGCAAGAGCAAATTGTTAAATCTTCAGGAATTCTGCAAAGAGGCTGACATCACATTGGGAGTCTGAATTGGCTATGGTAGGAATATTTACACCACAGCAACTAGCAAGGCTACAACTAAGGGGATCCCCTCACCCCCCTGAAGAGACAGTTAAATGGGTTAACATTCACCAGCACATGACTGGTCGTCACCATTAAGTCCTAAACTGGGGGATCCCAAAGACTGGGACCCCACCTGACTCCTCTCAGTGCCTAGCAGAGCCAGGCACCGAAGCCAGTTGGCTTTAAAGTGGGGGATGACCTGGGGTCTGGAGAGGGGATGCCCAATGTGAGACCACCACCGAGGCAGCCAGTGGGAAGGCAGGTGGTGGAAGAGAAGACATGAGAGAAAGGACCCTAGTGTTGGGGGGGATGGTGAGAGCTTCTTGGGTTGTATCCACATTCTCCAAACACACGATAGGGCACAGTTAACATGCAACAACACCTTTAGTATAAGTTACAGCCTCCAACTGGCTCCCAGTCCGGGGGAGCCTCCAGATGAGTACATGACATCAGTTCCCAGATGTCCATCTCTTGGACTGGGGGTACTCTTCAGAGCCGAGTCCGCTGTCGCAACCAGACCTGCCCCAGACACCTGTGGGGACCTCTGGCTCAGCCCTGATTCCTTACCTGACCTCCTTCTCTCCCCTCCCCTGCCTCCCAGGCAGCTCAGGCCCAGACTCGGCTGTGTGACCTTGGTAAGTCACTTTCCTCTCTGGGCCTGTTTCTCCATTTGACTGGATTAAGCTGGGCTCCAGCCTAGGTACCCTGGCAGGCATGGCCAGCAATATATGTGGGAGTCAGGCCAGAGGCAGCATTGGTCCTGAACCCTTGCCTTTCTTAAAACCTTATTCCTCAACTCACACATACAGTGGGAACTGTTGAGCTCTATGGACCACAGAGAGTGTCCCCAGCCCCTGCAAATGACAGAGCATTGGGGTCACAGCTCCCCTGACCATCCAGCATGAGTCATGCTGGTCCATATCTGGGGAGACCATCCCATTTGAACAAGTCCTAGTCCCTACGGCCCCCCATATAAACCTGTGCAGGCCCGAAGGGTTCAGGTCCTACAGCTGGATGTCCTTAGTGTTCTCACTACCAGTAGGCGTGGACTCTGTCTGCCTAGAGTCCTCACTGCTGGCCGACCTGTCTTCTCTCCTCTTGATGTCAGTTATGTTAGACCTGCGCAGGCCCAGCCTGCGGTGAGCCTGGGCAGTAGGGATGGGGTCTGTGGGTGGCTTGGCATCACGGGCAAAGCGCACGAGCCTCTGCCCAGCCAGGAAGTAGAGCACGGGATCAAGGCAACTGTTGGCGCTGGCCAGCGGCCGGGTGATCTTGTAAGCCATGTTGATGGCGTTGAGAGTGCGGCAGCTGAGGTCCAGCGAGCGGAAGGAGTAGTAGAGGGTGCGGGTGATGTGGAAAGGCAGGAAGCAGAGGGTGAAGACGGCCAGGACCACGGCAATGGTGCGCACCGATTTGCGCTTGGCCCGCGGCAGGCCTCCCCTGGTCCCGTAGGCTGGCTTTAGCAGCCGCTGGGCCATGAGCACATAACAGACCAGGATGATGGCAAAGGGCACCGTGAAGAGCAGACCCAGCATGACAGAGCTGTAGGCCACAAAGCGGCTGAAGAGCGCGGGTGCCGAGGTGTCGTGGCAGGTAATGCGGCCGTCACGTGCACTGGTGGTGACAAAGTAGAGCACGGGTGCCTGGCAGGCCAGCACCAGCACCCACACGGCGGCTGCCACCCGACGGGCATAGTGGGCCCGGCCCCAGCGCAGTGAGAGTAGTGGGCGTAAGACGCCCAGGCATCGGTGCACGCTGATGCACGTGAGGAAGAGGATGCTGCAGTACAGGTTGGTGTAGAAGAGGAAGCGCACCAGCTTGCAGAGCACTGTGCTGAAGGGCCAGTGGTCGCCACCGGAGTAGTAATAGACCAGCAGCGGCAGGGACGCTGCATACAGCGTATCCGACATGGCCAGGTGGAACATGTACGTGGTGGAGGCGTTCCAGGTCTTGAGGCGGCACAGGAAGACGTAGAGCGCCACGGCGTTCAGACACAGCCCGAGCACGCACACCACACCGTAGGACACAGGTAGCAGCACGTACTTGAAGTCCTCATTGAAGCGGCACTTGTAGCCCAGCTCATCCCCAGCCCAGGTGCCATTGATGGTGCCATTCCAGAGGCCCGGGCTTGTGGCCATCACCCTGCAGGGAAGGGGGGTCAGGGGGAGAAGAGTCATCAGGGTCATGGCCGGGGCTCAGTGGGGAGGCCTGACACACCTCCCTGACCAGGGCCATGAGGGACCCCAAGTGCCCACAGATTCCCTTGGTTAAGATCTGCCCAACCAAACTCAAGGCCTTTGTTGCCATCTGACCTGGCTCTCTCCTTAGACCCAAAGGACCCAGAACCTTGGAACCCGGGAACCTTGAAAATGCAAGAGATCCATGAATATCAGCATCATACGATTCAAAAATTAAGAACAGGGGTAGGCAAACTACACCCTGAGGGGCAAATCCAGCCCACCACTCTGTTTTTGTAAATAAAGCTTTATTGGAACACAGCCTTACTCATCCGTTTATGAAGAATTGAATAGTTGCGACCAAGACCATATGTTCTGGAAAGCCTAAAATACTTACCATCCGGCCTTTTACAAAAATAATGCTTGGCGACCCTGTTCTAGAAACTCAGGAGCACGAGTCACAGATCTAGGGTTCTGAGTATAGAAGCTGAGGATCTGGGGGTCCCAGAGAGGGGTCATTTCAGATTCATGGAAAGGGCCTTCGTGGCCAACTGGCTCCACCTCACACCCAGCGCCCACTGCTGCTGAGGCGTGTCTGGCTAGTGGGCAGCCCACACCTTCCTGGAGGCCTTAGGAAGTTCTTTCCTTTGGTTCATCTGTCCGCTCTGTGGGGAGGCCCCAGCCCTGTGCCTGGTATTTTGGTACCTGAGGAAGTATTTCCAAGGGTCTCCCTCTTTGCTCACTCATTCACTCGCTCACAAATATTTTTTAGAGACTTCTGTATACTGGCACTTCCTGCATCTGTAAACAGCAGTCCTGCTCCCTGGCCTGTGAGGCTACCAGATGGGACAGTAACCCTACTGAAGATTCCAGGGAAGTCTGGGGTGGAGGTGGGAGTGAGGGCAGAGGGGGACTTCTTTTGTTGGGCAAATTCGGCTTCCTCCAGGCCTACTCAGCTTCTCTTCACACACCATCACCGTCCTGATGTTCCCCTACCTTGTCCCTAGTGGGCGTCTAACACACCCGTGGAGCCTGATTGCCCAGCAGACAGTGAGCGCCAGGAGAACAGGCTGTCCGCCTTCCTCCTTTCCCCACCCCCACCAATGTGACCAATAAGAGCTCTCTCTCAGCTGGGAGGCAGGGGACAGATAGCCCAGTCTGCAGGGCAAAGACATGACCAAAAGTCCCAGAAGGCAGGCTGGAAATCCTAGCAGGAGTCCCAGGTGGGCAGCTTTGGGACAAACACAAAGAGTAACTTCCTAACAGTGTGAAGGGGCAGGGGAGATGACATTTTTCAAACCCCACCACTGCGTGTGCTTCATAAATGTTACTGCATTCCATCCTTACAACATGCTCCTTGGGGCCAGGTTATCATGGCCAGTTTTCCAATAAACAGCCTGAGACACAGACCATTGAAGTAATATGGCCAAGGTCACACGGCTGAGGACGGGCTGCAACTCCTATTCAGTCCTGTCCCACAATGGAAGGGGCTGTAGGAGGGAGGTGGTGAACTCCCTGCTTATGGGGGTTTGCAAGCGGCTCCCTAGCAGAGTCTGCAGAAGGGCTCAGGCCCGGTGTGTGGGTGTGTCTGAGAGGACAGAGAGGGCAGATGACGTGTAGTGCTCCCCACCCTGAGAATCTGGGGCTGTCCAGTTCCCTTCATTTTGGAGCCTAGGATCCTGAGAGGCTGGGACTTGGAGATTCTGCAGGGCGGGCGACATCCACTTTCTTCGACCCTGAGCTTCCTGCCCTGCCTGGCCTCTCAGCAGCAGTTTGGGGCCTGTGAGGTTGAGATTAGGGGGCTGAGGGACACCCAGGTCCCTCAGTTTCTCTCCTTTCCCCATACTGCAGCCCCCACTCCAGATCTTCCCCGTCTCCTGTTGTCAGCAAAGGTACAACAGGAGGAAGGGAGCGTGCACTTGTGACCTCCCCCAACAGACACAGGATCCTCCCCAAGGAGCCAGGGCAGATCCAGGGTGAGGAGGGTGAAGCTTCTGTGGTGCCAAGTTGGGAGGGGGCAGGTATGAGGGGCTCTGGCAGGGCCAAGCTGCTGGGACCCCTCTTGCTCGGGGCCAGGACTCAGGACCCCGCATTAAAGCATTTCCTGCATCCCACCCCGCTCTACGCAGCCCAGTGTCATCTCTACCCTTGCTGCTGGAGCCACTGCATCAGGCTCCCTGCCTCCAGTCTCAGTTCCCCTCAATCCCGAGGCGTCTTTGTAAAAGACAGTCATTCCCCTGCTTGAAACCCTCCATGGCTCCCACCTTCTCTCAGGAGAAAACCCAGCTCCCCAGTCTGGTACTGGAGGTTTCATAACCCAGCCTCTGTCAACCTCACCAGCCCCATCCCCTGGGACCTGCAGTTTCCTGAATGTGCCTAACACTTTTCTCTCCCAGACTCAGTTCATGTTGCTCCTCTAACCAGGAATCCATTCACACCCCTCGTCTCCACCTGTTGAAATGACAACTCTTTATCCTTCAGCATAGCAAATTCCAGGGACTAAGAAGAGCCCAGCCTCTGGAGCCAGATGCCTTTGTTTCCTCATCTGTAAAATGAGGTGATCAATGGAACCTACATCACAGGATGGCTGGGAGCAGTAAGCGAGTAATTTGTGTAAGATGTCTGGAGCAGGGCCTGGTACACAGTAGGTTCACTGTGGTGTTATGCGCTTTGGGGCTTGGCTCAGATGTGGCCTTTTCCTGAAATCGTTGGGAAGCTCTCTCAGGCCACCATGGAAGAGTGACGAAAGGTCTTGACTGGCGGCCGTGCAGCGGGTGAGTGTGGTGGGCCAGGGGAGTGATGCTAAGGCACAAGCTGGGGCCAGGCCTGGGGACCTGTGAGAGGAGAGATCCGAGAGCTGTTGGGGAGGGAGGCTGGACGGAGGAGGGGCAGGAAAGGGAGGCAGCCAGGATGCCTGGCTCAGGGGTACAGAGGAGGAGCAGGTCGGGGAAGAGGGGGAATTCAGTGTCAGACACAGTAAGTGTGGGGTTCCCCCAACGGGTGTCATGGGATGTGGGATGGGCAAAGGCTGGGACCATCAGATCTCATGCTTTGGGAGGTGGGCTGGGAGTTGCTAGCTCTCAGAAGCTGCAGGAGGAGCCTGGAGGCCCGAGGGTGAGACTGAGAAGCTTTGGAGGGGCCACATTCCCCCCGGGGACAACAGCTTGGGGTGTCCAGCTCTGCCACAGAACCCCAGGTGACATCAGGCATTTCCTGCCCTCCCACGGAAGGCTCAGGGCTCTCATGGGCTGAATCCCCCAGCCTTGGAGAACTATGGCCCTGAAACTTCCCCCATGAGGTCCTCTGCCTTACTGGAGACAGAGAGTGGCCCCTCCATGCTCTGGGCACACATCCCGTCCTGCCTCCACACTGTTGCTCTGCTCCCGCCCAGTGCAAGGCCTGGCGGGTCTCTCCTCAGAGTCGGGGGCAGGGCCCTCATCTTCCCTTCATAGACAACATCTCATTGCTCTACACAAAGAGTTTCTTGCTAATCACTAACAGTGGAATTTCTGACACTGATGAAAGGGGTGGAGACTTCCCTAAGTCATGAACCAAGGGAGCTGCCCTTCCCACCTGTTTTAGGACATCCTGGACTCCACCCTCCCAGGCCAGCTGGGGACTCCACCACTTTGGCCCCCGAACAGACTGACCCTGCGCCTGCCCTCTCCCTCCACAGGCTGGCCCACCAACCTGTGAGTACATCTCTCCTGGCCCCCCTGCCCCTGCTTACGGAGACAGCCAAGTCCTCAGCCCTCTCCTCAGCCTCTCCGGACCCCCAATGCCCTTGGGACCTCAATCCCAGCTCCCTAAAGACCGGCTCCCACCTAACTTTGTCCAATACCACTCACGAGCCCCTCTGTGCCCGGTTCTGGCTGGCCCTGCCCTGAAGAGCAACTAGTCTGGAGGGAGATGGGAGCCATGTAAGTGCCCTGCCAGGCTTCCCTGCCTTTGTGCATGCTGTTCTTTCTGCCTGGAAAGCCTTTCCAGAACCCACCCACACTGCACTCCATCCTGCCCATCCCCCAAGGCTCTTCTCAAATGTCACCTCATCTCTGAAGCTCTCCCCCTCCACAAACCCCAGGCATTCCTCATACCCTTGGTAATTTGTCCTTCTGTCCTCTACCCCAACTCATTCCAGATGCTCCCAGAGGGCTGGGTCCACCTGATTCTTTTCTCTGCCCCTATCATCCAGCAAGAGGCCTGATCTAAAGTAGCTATGACACGAATGAGAGAATGAATGAATGAATGAACCAGTGAATGAATGAATGAAGCACACACAGAGGCTATGGGAGCCCAGAGGAGGCTGAGCTTTATGAAGGTGGCTCTCCTTTCCCTCATTCCTCTGAGGGCCTCCCAGAGGACCATGATGCTTAAAGACTTCTCAGCTGCTGACCCTAGGTGGCCAGGGGTCACCCCAACCCTCCTGGGGACCAGCCCACCTGAGGCCTGCTCCTGTCCTAGACAGGCCCCTGGACTGTCTCTCTTTTAAGGGCCCTGCCCTTCTCTGGAAAAGCCAGGAAAACACCAGTGGGAGGGGAACTAGATCCACGCATTCTTGAGATGGTCAGCTGTCTGAGCCAGCCACATTCTTTTTTATCTTGCCCATCTCTGGCTCAAGTCATGGGTCAGTCTGGATCAGGAGCTCCTAATCCTGGAGCCCTCCCCCACCCGCACCCCAACACACACACACTCTGTAGGGGCCAAGCCTGGGCTGAGCAGCCTCCACGCAGCATCTTCATTTCATCCCTCACCCTCCCTCCTCAGTACTTACTGCCGTAGAGGATAGGCTATTTGTTCAAGGTCGTAAGGAATTGGAAAAATTGGGCTTGACACCCAGGGCTCTCTGGCTTTGAAGTCTGAATTCATCACAGCCTGGAATAAGGGAGCAGGGCAGGGATCCCCTTGATCTAACCTGGGTTCAGCATATACACATGCCTGCATCCGTTGGCCTGAGCCTCCCAGCCAGTGGACCCCGCCCTCACACACCTGTACCTGACCAGCCCCTGCTCTCGCTGTCAGGGATGCTCAGCACTCTCTCGAGTTCCTCACTCATGAATGCACACGCCTGGACAGGGCTGCAGGGAACTCTGCAGGAAACAGGAAAAACAGGTCCCCCAGCCTGGGGCCGCGCCCAGCTTCCAGCATCTCTCAGGGCAGGCAGCGCCACGGGCTCCTGAGACAGAGGGAAGTGGAGACAGCATGGGTCATGGGAAGTCAGCCAGGCCCAACCTCCCAGGGCCTGACCTGCTCCAACCTCCTCTGCTCCATCCTTGGCCCAAAAGAGGCAGAGAGGTGACCTAGTGTGCTCGTCCCAGGAGGAGTGCCCTCTGCCCACCCACACCCCCTAGCCATCCACAGCTCACATGCTCCAGGATGGCTATTCCCAGCCTCCTCCCCAGGCACCCTCTTTCACAGAAGGGTGGCTCTGCCGGGGGAGGTTTCCCCCATATCCTGCAGAGTTGAGCTGAGCCTCCAGTGCCACCTCCCTCCATCCTGGTCTGTGCTTCAGCCCCACAGCAGGAAACAGTCAATGCCCTCCTTGCCCAGTATAGACTTCACAGTAGTTTGGCCAACATGGTTTTGCTCAAGCTGGGTCTCTATCTGGAATGTCCCTCCACCCCCCTCCCGCCTCTAATCATTCCTCCATGGGTGCTGTAAACACACATGAACACACACAGGCATAGACACACCTAGATACCAGATACACAGTCACACTCAGATGTCATGCAGTCCACACACACTCACACACACACAGTGCTAGAAGGCCAGGACTGGAAGAGCCTTCAGAAATCACCTGCACCAAACTCTCATTTGCCAGAGGAGGAAACTGAGGCCCAAGGCCTCACAGTAAGTCAGGGACAGAGCCAAGATCACAAGCCAGGCCTTCTGAATTCTGGCCCTGGTTTCTGTCTTGCTGGGAGCCCCTCACATACACCAGGCACAGAGGCACAGGGCTTCAGTGAGGGGATAGTTACCTGGTGGAGGGACCTCACTGCATGGGCAGGTCCCAGCATCCACCAGAACCTCAGACACATCACAGGAGAAAAATAACACCCCTTTCCTTTTTCCTTCTGCTTCATTTCCCGACAATGGGGGAGAAGGGTCTGAGACAGCCCAGGCCAGGTCCCCAAGCTGGAAGTGCAGTCCAAGTGTGGGGGAAAGTGGGGAGAGGAGCTGGTGGCTGCAGGAATAGGGTGGGGGGGGGGCACTGGGAAATACCCCTGGGCCACTGTTTTCCTAGTGCCCCTTGCCCCAGAGTCTCAGGCTGACATGGGCCAGCAGGCTGGTAGCTACTTGCCAGTCTGCTCCAGAGTCTAGGGACAAGGTGAAAGAACGTCACCTTTTCACCCCCCTCCACCCAGGGCCACACCCTGTCTTCTCCTCCTTAGGAGATGCCTTCACTCAACAGACTACGGTGGAGCACAGCACTTCCTCAAAGCCATTCTCTGATTTCTGAGAAGGGCCTCCACCACCCATCCTTCCAGGTCTCAAACCTCCAATGCATCCGTGACAACCTCTCTCTTTCCCACCCACGTGAAACCCGTCACTCACCGAGTCCCGTCAGTTCCACCAGGGAAGTAGCTCAGACATGCCCCTCCTCCAGCCCCCTGGCCTCAGGCCTGTTTCTCCTCCAGACCACCGCACCAGCCTCCTCACTGGTCTCCCCGCCTCCACCCCGCCCCTCCTGCACATCTGTCACACTGCAGTCACCAGTCTTCCTACAACACAATGTGTCCACACACTGTGGAGCTCAAAATGCTTCCACGGCTCCCTACTGCCTCAGGCTACAGCCCAGCTCCTGAGCCTGGCACTCGAGGCCCTGACTAGGCCCTGCCACTCCTCCAAACAACTTACTCTCTCTGCCTCCACCCTCACCTTCCTGTCTCAAGCACAGCAACAGCAGTCCCATTGTCATATCTTTGCTTGGGGACACCCTTTCTTATCTTCTAACAGCTATATCATAACAAGAGTCGAGTGCTTTCTCTGTGTCAAGTTCCATGTCAGGTGGCTTCACAGACCTCTTCTCATTGAATCCGGAGAAGCTCAGACAGGCTAAATAACCTCTCCAGGGTCACACAGCTAGCAAATGGCAGAGCAGCGCTGGTCTGTCTGACTTCAGGAGCTATGCCCCTGACCACTACCTCCTACCTTCCAAAGCCCAGATCCTCTCCTCCAGGAAGCTCCCGGATCAGCCCTCCAGGAGCTCCATGGCTCTGCCTGTCTGATCACTTCTTCACCAGAGGGAACACCTTACTGGCCAGGCCCAGCATCTACTCGCCCTGGTACCTCCCCAGTGTGAAGTGGCCATGATGGTTATGGTACCCATCTCCCAGGTTAAAAAAACTAAGGCCAGAACGGGTAGCCCAAGGTCTCATACAAGGTCACCAGTGAGTCAAGGGCAGAGCCAAGCAGACCACCTTCCCCCCTGACCCATCTCTGCCTCTGCCCCACACTGGGCCTTTCTCCCTGTGGCCCCAGGCTAGTGAGCCCAAAGCCAGGAGGAGGGACTGGGGCAGTTCTCAGGCCGGCTACAGAATTTCCGGGGTGGTTGGATGTCATTCCAGTTTCTCCACCAGGGTGGCTCTGGAATGTACTGCCCGCTCACCTCCCCACCTGGCTGGCCTTGTCCAGCCTGGCAGGGGAGAGTGACCCATCACCATTCTGGAAATCTGTGCTGCCTGCCTCTGCTGGGTGTGGGGTGCTGTGTGAAAAACAGAAGACCTAGACCCAGAACAACACCAAGCGGCAGGGGAGGGCACTGGGCAAGTGGGAAATCCCATCTGCCATTCCCAGCTGTAGGACCTGGACAGTCTCAGCTCCACTACTTGAGTCTCAATTTTCTCTCAATCTAAGAGCAGTACCTTCCCCAGAAGATTACTGAGACAGCTAAAGGGAATGGTTTAGACTCATTTTATGAAACAATTAAAAGAGATACGATTTCTGGAGGAAGAGGAGGTGGAGAAGGCAGGGAGGACGGGGGTATCCCGGGAAGACAAGAGGGGCAGGAAACTCACAGGAATTATGGGCAGAGTAGCAAGGTCACAGCCAGACTGACCACAGATCAAGTTTCCCACACTGAAGGCCATCCTCAGAAAAGAGGGCAGTCCGAGGACCCCCAGCAGGAATCAGACCCCACCATACTCCTTCAGTCGCTCACCCTTTATAGAGGTTGCCATATCTACGCCTATCTCTGTGTAGGTCCCTTGGGGACTCAGGTGGGTCAGACCCTTCCATGATCTCAAGGAGGTCACTGAGAAGGTAGAGGGTAGGGGGAGGATAGGGGAAGATCCAGAAATAGGCAATTACAACTCACGGTGATCAGGACTGAAGGAAGCAGAGTCATCAGGGCTGAAGAACCCAAGATGGTCCCTATTGGGAATGGGGAGGTAGTTAGGGAAGGCTTCCTGGAGGACAGGAAACCTGCATTTTGGAAGATGGGTAGGAGTCAGGTGGGTAGGGAGAGAAGAGGAGCAGAGTGAGCAAAAACCAGGGCAAGAGATCACACAGTATGTTTGGGGAACTGTCAGTCATCCCTGTGGCTTGATGGAAGTGGAGAGGGCAAGGCTGGGTAGGAGGACAGGAAGGATCTTGGAAGTCATCCTCTGCTCCCTCCCAAATGTCCTCCACAGGGCTGAAGGCCCGGAGACCCCCAGCCATGCCTGGCGTGCTTTCTGCACCACAAGCACTGGGTCTGGCCTGGGCAAATAGCTGAGGGGGTAACCTCAGATGTCATCGGCAAGGCTGTTGCAGAGTGAAGCCTCTGCAGCCTCCTCCAGGAGGCCCTTGGGCTCTGTAGCACCCTTTGGAGGCTCTCTTCCTCTTGGGAGCTCTCAGGATCCTGGCTGTGAGGGCCACCCAATAGGAGACCATCTGCGTGTGCGGGTCTCAGATCAGCCAGGGTGGTCCTCCCACCTCGCAGATCAGGAGGCAAAGACTCCTTAAGAGGAAGGGTCTTACTCAAGGTCTGGTGTTCTAATTATTTTCAGTGTGGGGCTGAGCAACCCCACCTCCACCCCAGGGCAGGACTCCAAACCGCCTGTCCCACTTCTGAGCCCGTTGGTCCAGCACAGGGCTATAGAACCTGTTCAGAACCACAGTGCCCTGGACTCCACTCTGACTCATCACACCCAAATGCCTCCAGCCAGACTCAAGAGGAAAGAACCCTGGATTCAGGCTCCACCTTGGAACCATTCATGCTGTGAAATCTCGGTCAAGTCAGTTCCCCTCTCTGAGCGACGGGTTCTTCACGAGTCAAACAGGGAGAATCGTTGCTACATCAGACGGCTCCTGAGGAATGAGTAAGACAAGGGCCAGGTGGGTGCTCCATGGAGCTAGCAAATCATGCCCTGTCCTGGTGTAGGCGCTGCGTCTGCCCATCACAGCAGAGAGACACCGCACCGGAACTCTTCTCAGCATTGGGCCCTCCTGGGGTGGGGGGGGGCGGGGTGGCAGTTGGCCCAGCAGAGGAGCAGGGGTCATGGTCAGAGCAGTCAGGGAAGGCTCCTGGAAGGGGCTGTGATCAGGTCTGAAGAGAACCAGGAAGGGTCCAGCTCGGGTAGAAAAAGGGACAAAAGTATAGGATACAAGAGAGTCTGATTCTGAGATGGTCTCACTCAGTGCTTCCGGATTCTGAGTTCATTGGTTCCGACAGTCCATTTCCAAGAGCCTCTGGTTCTGGGAGTGAATTCTCAATGTTTCTCCAATTCTGTTGCTCATTGCTTCTGATAACCATTGGTTTTGAGAGTCTCAGAACCACGGGAGTTTTGGTTTGGATTTATGGTTACAACCATAAATCACTTCCCCAGGAGCCACAAAGCCTCAGCAAACACTTGCCAATGCCCCCACGTGCCAACCTCAGAGGGACCCTCAAACCCAGACTCAGATCAGACTCAGTCGGGCCCTTAAGGAGCTCAAGTCTGGATGGGGAGAAAGACACAGACATGGACCAAGTCCACTTGGGTGATTAAGCCATGACCAAGGGAAGCCCAGGGCCATGGAGCCCAGAGTAACCCCTAACCGGCCCGGGGAGGTGGTCAGGGAGAGCTTCTCAGAGGAGGGGTCATTTGAGCTGGGGCTTGATGGATGATTAGGAGTTTATCATGTGGACAACAAAGATAGGAGGGCATTGAAGGCAGACGGAGAAGCATATGCAAAGATGCAGTGGTGTGACAGCCTGGCCTGTCAGGAGAAGGCCAGGGGGTCATGTGAGGCTGGTGTGGAGAGTTAGGTGGCACAGAACGTGTGGGGGCCTGAGGGACTCACATGAAAAGACTTGAATGCCAGGCTGAGGAGCTTGGCCTCTATCCTAAAGACAATGGAGAGCCTGCCTCTGCTGGGCCTGGGGTGTTGTGAGTGGAAACAGAGGCCCTGGACCCAGAGCACCATCAAGGGGCAGGGGAGGGCACTGGGAAGGTGGGCAATCCGAGTTCTGCCATTCCCAGCTGTGGGACTTAAGCAGAGAAGGACACGGTCAGAGCTGACCTTTACAAAGATGGTGCCACGTGGAAGGTGGATAGGACGGGGGAGTCTGAAGGGAGGGAGACCAAGAAGGAGACCACACATACAATGGCCCAGAGAGGGGAGCTGGTCCCTTGGCCCCGGATTCCTGTGAGGTGGGGAGCATCCTTGCCGGCCCACAGCCCAGCCACAGCAAGATTCCTCCTTCCATAAGCTGGGGCTGGGGAAGCCAGGCACTCACCAGGGAGTCACAGCAACACCAGGAGCCTCCCCCGAGGCAGGGCGAGAGGAGAGGGTCACACGGGCCCCAAGAAGTCTGACGGAGGCCCTCCTCCTGCACCCCAGTGCCCAGGCAGTGTCATGTCACTGCAATCACAGTGACAGGGTGCCAGGGTAGAGCGCCAAGGAAGAAGCAGCTGCCCAGGAGGGCCCAGGCTGCCAACTCTCCCAGCAGGGACTCCAGCTGCTCCCCCTGGCCCAGAAATGACTCAGGCCTAGGGGATGGTGTGACAGAGGAGCAGAGGAACTCCTCTGCTCAAGAACCAACTGTGGTTCTCCATGGAGCAGGCCCTCCTCTTCCACTCTATGTCCACTTTCACCGGGTCATTCATTTCCCAAACACTCACCAGCACCTGCTTTGTGCCCAACCTGTGCTGGGTGATGTGGACAAAGAGAGAAAGCAGGCCTGGTCTAGTTCTGCAACTGACCTCTAGGATGGGTACGGAGGTCAGAGAAGGCACCCACTCCCAGCCTCCCCTGATCAGGGCCCAGTGGCTGAAAGAGGCCAGGCCTGAGGACACAAAGGCAGCCCAAGAGAAAGGGGTGGGCCAAAGGGTGCACCAGACAGGCCCACAGACAGCAGTTCGGGGAAAGGAAAGATTTCACCAGATCAGCAAGGCTGCCCTGGTCCTGTGGGCGGCCTGAGCAGACTATCTTATCAGTAACTGGGTAATCAGGCCACAAGCAAAACCTAAAGATGGGTTTTCAGGGCAGGATGCAAACTTCCTTCAGCCTGAAAGCTAGAGGAGCAGCCCTTACTCAGATGGGGCCGCTGTCTTGAACGGGGAGGGATAAGCTGGGGCAGGTACGCAGGAGCCCCAGCTTTCACCTTCGCTTTGTGACCTTGGACAGGCTGCTCTCTGAGCCTCCCTCACAGGGTTGGTGGAGGACAAAATGAGGGACATTCATAAATCGTTACTAGTAAGCTGACTCTGAAGAGGGGGCCACAGGGAGAGGAAGGCAGTCAACAGTCAAAATTCCAATAACTAGCACGATCCCTTGCTACTGCATCCGTATTCTAGTACAGTCTTCAAAATGAATTAAGTCTTTGAGTATCATCCTTCTCCCCTGTGCGTTGCACTTTACAACTTACAAAGCCCTTTCCCGGCCACTATCTTAAGAATTCTCAGAGCAACCTAGCATTAGAAGAGGCAAGGATCATCATGCCCAACTTAACAGACAGCAAAACTGACACCTAGAGGGGCACAGTGGCCTCTCTAAGGGCTACAGCCAGGAAAGACGCCAAGTCAATGCACTCACCGGAGTCACCCATGAGGCCCTGGTGATATTCTCACACTCTTTTAGCTGTTCCTTGGGGATCCAGAAGCTTCAGAGCCCTGTGCATACTGGGCAGAAAGAGGACAGGAATGGAGGGGCCACAGCCTCACTCTGCAGCTCAAGCTTGGCAGCCATTTATGAAGGCCACCTACTTGATACTCCAAGCCCTCTGGCCAGACCCCAGGACAGCCTAAGGTAGGAAGAAGAGGAGAGTGACAAGCCTTCCATGCCAGAGCCTCCCCATGCATGTACTCTCAACACAGGACCTTACTGGTTCTGGTCTCTCTTTAGAGGGTGGCCAGGCAGGAACTGCCCCAAGGTCACCCAGCAAATTGGGGGCAGAGCTGGGATGAGATCAATCATAGGTCTCCAGGCTCCCACTAGGGGAAGGAGAGTCCTAAATGTCCCCAAATTCCTCCACAGAAGCATCTGAGAGCTCAGGGAAATGTTTGGCCAAGGTGGCAAGGGCTCAGAGTTTAAACAATGCCTGGTGTCAATATCACAAATGCCCTGACCTCCATGCACTGAGCACTAACTCAATCCATTTTCCACCCTGCAGCCAGAGAGATCATTCTGGAATGCTGCTCTGCATGACTCTCCCCTGCCAAATCCTCCATGGCTCCCTACTGCCTTCAGGATAAAATCAAGTTTTCAGCCTGCACACTCTGAGTTCTGTGGTGTCCCAGGACACACTGTTTTGACAACCTGTGCCACTCGCTCGGATGACCTCATTCTGGTTTCCCCTTCTTTGTAACGACATGGAGCCCCATTGCAGACAGGCCTTCATTGGGGAAGTTGGGGACAGGGGGCAGGGGATACAGGCTGCTGCTGCTCTCTCAGTTCAGCTCAGCCCTGCGCAGTGTGCTGGCAACTCAGAGATGAGACCCAGTTCCTGCCCTCCAGGGAGCCTCAAACCTGGGGGGCAATGGGAAGGAGGAGACAGACAGCAACCATAACAGTCCTGGGTAGGACCAGGGCTGTCAGCACCAGGACTTCAAGAGCCCAAAAGAGGCTCCAACCCAGCTGGGGGATCAAGGAAGGCTTCCCAGAGGAGGGGACATCTGAGCTGGGCCCCAAGGCTGGGTAGTTCTCCAACAGAGGAAGATGAGAATAGGAGGGCATTTCAGGCAGTGAGCATCGAATAGGCAACAGTCCAGAGGCAAGAAACTGCCTAGTGTGTGCAGCAGACTACACGCAGTTACTAGAGGGTGAAGAGTCAGGTGGGAGAGGTGGGCTGGAGAGGTTGGCAAGGGCCAGTTCTTGGATGCCTCAAGTCCCAGGTTAAGGGGTTCAGGTTTGCTCCTGGGGAAGTTTAGCCCAGGGAGGAGACCGTTGGGATTTGGGTTTCAGGAAGTTCCCTCCAGGGACTGACCCCACCCTCATCCCCAAGCTGTGAGCCTGCCCAAGAGGACACTGGTGCTAAACATGACCCCCACATCAGCTCCTCAACAGCCCTCAGGTTCCACATCATTATTACTCTCCTTTTACAGACGAGGCCATTGAGGCTCAGAGAAGGGATGTGCCTTGCCCAGGGTCACACAGTAGCCAAGGCAGAATTGGAATATAGATCTCTGAGTCTCCAAAGAGCTTTTGTGGGCCCTGTCTGCTCCAAGAATCTCCTTTCCCAACCACTCCCACCCACAGATAACTGAGACCAGAGCCCCACCCTGGCCCTCAAAAGCTCCCCATTATTCCAGCCTAGCTCCAAAACAAACCAGGCACCTCAGGCTGTGGCCCAGGGAACCTGGGGATGCCATGCTGAAAGGAACAGCTGCCACCAGCCCCACAGACCCCAAACTGGCAGTCCTACTCCGCAGCAAGGCCTGGCCCTTGGGTCTGGCTCCTGGGGGCCCCAAAGCCTGCCACTGGCAGCCCTATCTGGGGAGAGGAGGGAGGGCATTGACTTTCTCCAGACTGACCCTTCCTGCAGCACCGCCTGCCAGATTAAAAGGCCCCTGAGAGAAGCTTAACTGTTTTTCCAGGCCGCTGCCCCGGCCCCCCCAGTCTTACTGACACCCAGAGTGAGGGGGCGCAGCGGGCCTCCAGGAGTTCCCCTGTCCCGGGCCGCGGTCCCACGCGAAGGCGGCGCACACCCCAGAGCGCACGCACAAACAAGTTCCACAGCTTCAGCTACCGGGCCCCGCAGGGCGCACGCACCCCCCACCCCGCGACACACACTCACCGGGGTATCCGTCCACGCTCCCCGAGATCGACGCTCCGTGGAGACCAAGTTCGCCCACGGACCCACGGCACTCTCACACCGGCTCGCAGTCGTGCCCAGCTCGGACAGGCACACGCGCACGGCTCTGCCTGCCCAACGCCGAGCCGGCACCCGCCGCGTCCCCGGCCGCGTCCGCTGACCTCTCCCCGCCTCTGGTCCCCTCCAGGCGGCCGCCCCTCACCTCCGCGGGGCGCTCGCGCGCTGGCGCGCCCGCGTTCCGCCCCCGCCGCAGGGACCCACGTGCCTGGAGCCCCGCCCGCCGCGCCTAGCTCCCGACCCGGGCGGGTCAGACCCAGGGCGGGGCGGACTCTGGAAGGACCCTGGCACCGCCCCCCTCCCGCCGCGACGGACACCCCGTCACCCGCTCCAGGAGACACTGCCCCGGGGTTAGCGCGTCTGCTACTGGTGCTGCGCGCGAGAGGCTGGCGACGACTGTCCCACCACCTGGCGGGACGGAGGCCACCCGCCGCCCTCCCAGGAGATGAGGGGAGGTTTTCAGAGAAGCTAAAGTTTTGCAGTTTGTCTGGAACCTGTGTGGCTCCTGTCCCTTCCGCCTCGAGACCTTTCCAGAACCTATGCCCTCTCCTCCCAGGGACCTGCTCAGAGCACCGCGCTGAGAACTCCGCTCCCTTGCTTGAGATCCGGGGGTCGGGGTGGGGGCGCTCCCCATTGCCCTAGGAAGGAAATCCAGGCATTCAGGGTCCTGCTTCTCTCCAGCTCCGGAGAGGAGGGTGGGGGGAGCCTCCCCTATGCTCAATCTCAGCCAGAAAAAGTCACTAGAAATTTTCCTGAACACCCAGCTCTTTTTGGTCCCTCATCTTAAGCTGCTTCCCTTGAGCTGCCTTCTCAGACTAATCTAGCCACACACATAACTCCCTTCTCTGCCCTCAACCCCACTCTGATGGCCTTCCGTTGTCAGGGACCCTCTGTCTGTCCTTTTCCTAGACTGTGAGCTCCAGGAGAACAGGGACCCGGTCCGCCCTCTTCCTACTGGGGTTCCAGAGGTCCCAGGAGTTGCTCAATGCTTGTTGGATGTGTGAATCGATGAATGAATGGATGTCCCCCTCTCTCTCCTGCTCTAGGCTTCAGTCAGCAGAGTTGGTTCTGGCTCAGCTTCAGCATTGACTCTGGGAGACCGTGACCCAGTTCCAATCGCTCTCAGGGCCTCCTTTTCTGTGAAACAGAGGCAGTCACACTCTCCCACCAAGTAGTGTCCATTGATCCAGGGCTTTGGACAATCAGTGTCCAGACAAGTGCAAAGAAGGCCAAAGAGCTTGCTCAGGGCCCTGGGGCCTTGGGTCTTGCTGGGCCCCACATCAGCTGACTGGGACCAGGCTCTTGGCCCCAGGAGGGGTCCCGGAAGGATGCTGGCTGCAGCCTTGCCTGGAGCAGAAGCAGGTGGACACATAGCCCTGCATGGCTGAGCTACCTCTGCTCCAGGAGACACAAAGGCCCCTTGTCCAGCCTCCTCTACCTGCTATCCAAGCTTGTCCATGCAGCTTCTAGGGGGCTAGGAATCTCTGTGGCCCCTATTTATGGAGCCCAGGCCTTGGGGTCCCAGTGTGGGGAAGTCGTCCTGGGCACTGGAGGCCCTGGCCAACCCCTTTTCTTCTCTCTCTCCTGACCTCTCCTGTTAACTGCTGTTTAGGTCCCCAGAAAAAATTCCTTTGATACCAACATAAAGACCGAAGGCTCTGCCTCAGCCTCCAGCCGCTTGGAGAGTGGCCAGCCCGGGGTCCTGCTCCTGCTCCAGTCCAACTCCTTTCCTTGACAGCCCGAGAAACTGCATCCCTGAGACACACAGTGTCTGAGCTACCACAACAGGCGACTTAGTGAGGCGTGAGGAGCAGAGGAAAGGGACTTGCAAACAGGAAAAGGGGCCAAGGGCAGAGGAGTGTGAAGGGGCACTGCAGGCCGAGGAAGCAGCGAGGCCAGGCAGGAGGCGAGTGAGGGCCCAGCACTGTCCGCCCCTCTAACGGGGATCTCTCTGAAGGCAGGGCTAGAGTCCAGCCTGTTCACAGTTGAATGCCCAGCACCTAGCACTGTCCCTGTCACCTGGCCAGCCTCCATGAATATTTGTGAGCAAATGAGGAAGATCGCTGTTTAATGACCACCTTATTGTGCTAGTCATTGTGTTCAAGTGTCTCATTTAATCTTCACCAGAACCCTGGGGTAGGTGTTATCATTACCACTTTACATATAGGGAAACTGAGGTTCAGAAAAGGGGAAGTGAATGTCCCAAGCCATGCAGCGAGTCTGCGTAGGTCCCCTGGCCCTGGAACTGCGACTTGCTGGGAAGGAAGGCCCTGCTGAGTTCCCGGAGTGACGGCTGAGCCGTAACGTTGGGACCCACACTGCGGCTCTGGTTACACGCAGCTGGACCCACTCCAGCAGCCTCGTCTTGCTGCTCTCTGGACTGCTGTGTCGGCCTGGACCGTCCTGCCTCCCTCACCGACCGGGAACTGGGCTCCTCAGGTTTCCCAGGCAGGGGCCAGGCTTCTGATGCCAAATGCAGCCTGGAAGCTCTGGCTCTCTGCATGCCAGGATGCAGGCACCCAGGGGAGGCAGCCCAGGAGGCAGGAAGCCTGGTCTAGGCCTGGGCAAGCCTCTGTTCCACCTCCCCACCAGCAAGACCAGCTACATAATTTGTGAGACCCAGGGCAAAAAAGAAAATGTGGGCCACTTGTTCAAAAACTAATAAGAATTTCAAGATGGGATAGCAGAGCATTAAATCAAGTGCAGGGCCCTTGGAAGCATGGGGCCCTATGTAACTGTGCAGGTCAGGCCTTGGTTTCCTCATCTGTCAAATGGGAGAATGCTAGCCACCTGGCCAGGCAGCGGTGAGGATGAGGTTAGAGATGTCAGGAGGAGGCTCAGTGAAGAGCATGAGGGTTGGGCAGGAGTCCCCGCGGATGTCATTTGTTATTTAGGTCTCAGCACTGGGTAGCAGACCAGTTCTTGCCAGGAGTTTGATTCCTCGCACAGCTCCTTTTCACGGACCAAAAACTAAGGCTCAGAGAAGCAAAATGAATTCCTCAGGGTCACACAGAGACTCAATGGGGGAAGCCAAGATTAGAGCCCCGGCTTGTCTCTCTGCAAAACTGGTGCTTTTTGTAACACAGGCGAGAGACAGAGAGAGAGAGAGAAGGGCAGGAGTGGGGTGGTGCAGGGAGGGCTACTCAGGACAAAGAGAGCCACTGTGTAGACACAAAGAACTGAGCACAGAGGCCCCTGTGGGGGCTGGGCCAAATGGGTGGATAGAAAAGCCACATGGTGACTGGGGGAGGTGCCAGGAGCTGCCTCCCAGCCCCTCCCTGGTCGTGATGGGGGTAGGAGGATGGCATGCAGATGCCTGGAAGTGGGTCAAGGAGGAGAAACAGACTCAGGGCTGGACCCCTTACCCCAGCCCCAGGCATCCAGAGCCCCAGCTGCCCACCTCATCTTTCTCCAGCTCCTTCTGGGCAGCCTGCTAGCTTAAGGACTCCCCCCTCAAACCACCCACCACCCCACTTTCCCCACTCAGGGAGAGGGGGAGTCAGGCAACTGACCATCTGATGGTCCCAGCCCTACAATCCAGCTCAGGAACTTCCAGCCACTTTCCATCACCCACAGGAGGAGGAAGCATAAGCCCGTCAGTTGTCCTTCAGGCCCTTTGTGACCTGCCCCGCTGACCTTTTCACACTCACCTCTCCCCACTCCCCATCCACACCCCAGTCATATAGGACCTCCCACCGTTCTCCAAACCACTCAGTCTTTTCACTGCATTTGTTCATGCTTTTCCTTCTTCCTGGAGGTGCTGTCTCCCCTGCCCATTGCCAGTTGCACTCCTCTTTCTCCTTCAGGAACCAGCTCAAATGCCCCCTCTACCAGGCAGCCTTCTTCCATCCCCAATGTGACTTTAACCTCCACGTTGCCAAAAAGGTTGGACTCCTCCAATCTCTTGCAGTGCTTATCTGAGTCTGGCTTCAGCTGTAGTTTGGATCCATAAAGCCTGCCTGGAGGAGGGGGCATTTGAGCTGGGCCTTAAAGGGCAGGAGGACGTCACTAGTGGATAACAGTGGTAAGCAGGGAACGAGAGCTCAGAGAACCGGGGGTACCAGCCCTCAAAAATTTTATCTAAATCAATCTATTTGGTTTCTGAGTTCAGATAGCAAAGGGTCCATAGGCAGGAGTTGTGTGCTGGGGGCCGGGTCAAGGGATAGATAAACCAAAAGGGCCAAGTCATGATGGGTTTTATATGCCATACTATGGAATTTTTTTGTTTGCTTGTTTAAAACACACGTGAATTGATTTCTCAGTTCTATAGTTTACTAAGTAATTCATTTCTGCTTTTACTTTCATTATTTTCTTCCTCTTAATTACCTTGGGGTAGCTTTTCTGTTCTTTCTCTGCAAGCTTATTAAAGTGAATGCCTATTTTTTTTTATTGTCATTCTTTTTAAATAACATAAGCAGTTAAGGCTATGATTTCCCTCTGAATTCAGCTTTGGCTGCCTTATGTATTTTTTTTTTTTTAAGGAAGATCAGCCCTGAGCTAACATCCATGCCAATCCTCCTCTTTTTGCTGAGGAAGACTGGCCCTGAGCTAACATCCGTGCCCATCTTCCTCCACTTTATAATGGGATGCCACCACAGCATGGCTTGACAAGAAGTGCATTGGTGCACGCCCGGGATCCAAACCCGGGCCGCCAGCATTGGAGCATGCACACTTAACCGCTATGCCATGGGGCTGGCCCGCCTTATGTATGTTTTGATATGTAAAGTTTTCCTTATCATTATTTTATAAATAGTTGGTAGTTGAATTTTTAATTTCTCTTTGATCCAATCAAAAGTCTTTTTAGGGGAATATTTAGGTTTTGGTGTTGTTTCTTTTAATTGTTTAAACTTGTGTTATTAATTTCTAGTTTTATTGCAGGTATGTAGGGGACATTGATTTAATTAAAGTCTGTGGTTTGTGTGTATTTTATTTTTTACAATTTA